TTACAGCTATTTGATAAGTATCAAGATGCTTAAAATTCTCCGTATGCAGGTGATGAAGGTATATTGCTTTATTAGTAAGGGAAGTTGACGATTGTAATGTTCAACTCATCACGTGTATTATAGAGCTTGATTGTTAGAACCTCTCTTCTAAAAATAGGGTGCTTTACTTTTAAAAAATATTTGTTTTTCAGGAAAAATATGCTTATTTATTTATTTTTTTTTTAATCTATCTCAAATTAAATCATCTTTATTAAAAGAAAGTAAATCAATGTCATACCAATACTATTATACTTTGTACATATATCTGGGTAAGAAAAATAAAGAGCTGAGGGAGTCTCTACCTGTCTTCTCCTCCAATCTTAATGGGGGTAAATCAATTCATCATTTTTTCGAAACGATTTTTTTTTAGAGAAATGTAACAAAATAAAGCTGTCTATTACTAAAATTTTAGTCTGGTATTTTGTTTTATACATCTTTTTTTTTCAAAGTCCGTTACGTGTCGTAACGTGTCACAAGGGTTACATTTGACGTCATTTTTTTTTTAAATAAAATACCCAAATGTGAAACAGATGTGTCAGACTCTGTGGTTTCTTTTATTTCAAGCTCTAAACTGAGTTACCCCGGGTATATCGACTCAACTTTTGAATAAGATTATCTGATGTTAATAGATAATACGTCATTGATATATCGAAGTGTCGAGTTGAATATTATTTGATATCTTCTTCACATGGAAGATTTTTGGAATAAATTATTTTAGACTTGGTTGGTTTGTCTTAAAAAAGTCATTTAACGTGTTTGTCTCATAATAGTTTTTTTTCTGTTTAATTTTAAAATGTTTTAATACAGCTTAAATGTATTTGTTCTGCGTAGTCATTTCTTAAAGTTATCGAAATAAAGGTTCATACAGCACATATATTCTCATACATGCAGTTTATAAGAACTAATGATTTGGATAAAAACGAACTGGGCAGTTATTTTGCAGCAGCTACTAGTATATCCATTAAGGGCTGAGAGAAAATTTTTCAGTTTCTTGATATTTTTTTTAAATAGTGTGTACAATAATATTACAGTGTATAACAAAAATTATTTTAAAATCAAGTTCTGTTAGAATAAAATATATTATTCCATCGCATAAGGATAAAAGGTATGAATATTAAACGACCTAACAGGTGTTAGGGCACACCATGTGTACTGTGTAAAATTTAGTATGGAATCAACTGAAAAGGTGCCGGAATAAGGGTTAATAAAGTGACTTCTTCCAAACAATGTACGACTGTTTATACACTTAATTTAAAATAGAATTTTATACTTAAGGATCCTTAAATATGGAATAAAAAATCAGATGAGTGCATTAAAGTTTAAAATTTCTTCTCATTTGTATAATTAATTCTTTATGCCATCTCAAATTAATTTTTTCAATGTGACAATTTCGTTAATGTATGTTCAGTTAATTATTAGCAGTTGTCGAGAAAAAAATTCTCAAAATTATCGATTCACAAAAATCGATTCTTTAATCATTCGAGTCATGGTGCACATGTAAAAAAAAAACTGCATTGTAGATGCATACAGCTTCACAAATAATGCAAAGAGAAGAGTATTGATATTTGGCTTTGTTAGAGTTACACGTGAAGATGAATATATTAGCTGACTACGTTCATTGCTAGGAGAAAGCCTGTACTGAATAGTCCAGGGTCCAGGATCATGAAACAGACTTGAACATAAGTCAAATTCTGCAATCATCTCTATGATGTTTTTCTATTGTCAACTTATGTTCTACATTTAGAGAGAACAACATTTTGTCAATGCAAGGTTAGTAAATGTTTTATGGTCCCCGTGTCGGTATTTGGAATTGATCATCTTATCCCCCAGAACTGCCAAAACAGCTTCCAAAGAAACCTTCTCGTTTTAAGGAGAGATTTGTATGGTTTCTGAATAGACAAAATATTCAAAATATATTAACTCATTTGTCTTAAATATTTAGATGTGAAGGATTAAAAGCATCATGTTTTTCTTTCCACATCACAAATGTACAGCTTTAGAAAAGGTAGACTGAGTTTGAAATCTAGAAGAGACTATATTTTTAGCGGAATAGCAGCGTTTGAAAATAGATATTCTTTCTGCTTCAAATTACTATAGAACAATGAATTTAGCTAAAAAATTCACAAAGGAATACTTTTCATGTGCAAGTGAAATTAACAATAAGGGACTTAAAATATATGAAATAAATATAACGTTGCAAACAAATGACAATAATAAAATTATTATATTATGTTAGCTTTTAAAACGTTCAATCTAAGTAGAGATTTGAGCCAAAAATCTTGTAATAAGTGTTTTTCTCTTTTAGTTAACAGTCAAAACTTGTTTTTGCATTTTGTATTTTTTTTATGGCTACTTCACCATGTGTAAACAAACATATATACTAACACATAAAAATAACTAATATATCCGGAAAAAATTAAGAAAAAAAGTAGAAAATTCGGATTAGCTAATATCCATTTTAGTTGAACTTTTTTGGTAATATCATCTGATAGATCCTACATGTATATAATTATCCCTTTTTATGCAAAAAGAACAAAAACATTGGCATCGCATGAATGGCAACTATTTCTTTTTTTTTTATTCTTAATGTCCAGGGAAAAGATAATGACCTTGACCTAACCTATTTCTAACATAATACGGTAAAATTTAGTCTTACTGATACCATCATGATTTAGTGGTATTGTATTTTTGAATCTATATAAATTTCATTATTTTTTTAATACAAGAGATGTGAGAATAATCCCTCCTTGTTCTTTTACTATCACAATGCTGACTCTAGGAATTGTGTTCCGCGAATGAAAAGTGCGTCACGAAGGAAAAAAATAAGTAATACTTAAAATGAAATACAAACGTCAATTTTAAGAAATTGTGATCGCTACTTATATATCAAATAGGAATTTTTCACTTTTGAAATGTAAAGCGAATATTAATGCAGATAAATATAATTAGAATCGAGCATTTTCAAAAATGGCTGTACTTGAAACACAAACCTAGTTTTAAGAAGTAAAATCAAGAAAAAAATCCTTATGATGTATTCTGGAAACTTTTAGAGGACTTTTCCCTGAGGCCATTAAGTGTATTTGCTTCCATTCCGTGTGTTCCTGACAGGTGATCAGTCCAACCCCGCCACCTTGTCATACACTTAAGGAAGATCACCCATTAGCTTCCTTTAAGGTCATTATTTTAAGAAATTTAGTCAAAAAGACGTTTAATTGGCTGTTCTACATGCAAAGAAAGAATTCTGTTACATTCCCCCTTTCCCACTGTTTTCAACAATTATCGAACTGGTAGGCGATTTGTGCTGAATTTATGAACCGAATTATTTGTAAAACTTTTTTTTTCTGGTTCCTTCAATAGTTTCCCTAACTGATCATTTACATTTCATATGCAGCAAAAGATAGCAATTTAGGCGTTTCTTTAAAAATGCATTTTTGGGTTAGTGAAATTCACAAAATTAAAGAAAATGGGCTGATATAACCAATATTAGGCTGGAACATATAGAAAACATTCGATGTAAAGACATATTATTGTAACCAGTGTAAGTACATGTAATTAAATGTTTCAGGTTTTAATCACCCTAGGAAAGGTATAACTCATTTTCTATGTAAAAGAAAAGAGAAAGTTATTGTCGCTAACAAACACATTCGTTTTGTAATTTAAGCCGCTTCCAATAAGTTATCAAAAGTTAATACACTATGTAGAAAAGTACATATTCAGCACATTTTACTAAATCTATTTTAACTGATTTTCCGAAAAACCAACATTATGCGATTTAATGGTTTTCCTCGGCATGGCATTTGTCGATGAAAAATCAACGGTTTTAGTTTTTCTGTGTTACATTTCGTTATCTTTATGCTAAACATGTATAGAAAATTTTACAGTATGTACACGTAATATTTAATAAGAAAAACAGAAAAATAACTGCAATTGATATCCTTTCTGCGCATGTTTCTTTTAATCCATTTGTAATGCGATTTTTAAAAAGTCGACGATGCACATATTCTACATAATATGATCTCAAATTTGTAGAAATTGTCCTCAAGATTGGGGATTTATTTTAAATTTGTACGTTTGATAAAAATGAAATTCGACACGCATGAAATCATTTCTGTGTTGTATATTTACTTGAGAAAGTATATATATAAAGTCTCTGGTATTTTTTTTTAAACATTTGGGTAAATAATTTTATAGTGACAATATCTTTTGATCTAAATTCGTTGTTTTGTTTCTGGAAAATAGTACCATGTTATTAAAGGGACATGGACACAGTTTCACTGCATTTTCAAAACCAATTTTAATGTTTACAAATCCTACCAAAGGCATCATCTAATAACTGGCAAAAATTTGAACATCATTTGTTGATTAACAAACGAGATACAGAACTTAGAAGTTCTTCATAATGTAAACAAGGCTCGTGTGTTGTTTTTGTTTACATATAGAAAATATCATATTTATAATAAAATGAAATTCAACAAATCAATAGAAACTGTTGAATCGTATTTAAATTAACTTAAAAAAAATATTTTCTTTTAACGAACATATATTAGTATATTGACCTATGTAAACAAAAAACATGACATGGACTTTGTTTACATAACAAAGGTTTGGAGCTCTTAATCTGTGTAGTATCTTGACAACTGGCGTTCAAATTTTTAATGATCATTAGAAAGACCCTAGTTAAATATTTGTAAAAATGGAAAAATGAATTTTGAAATTTTAGTTGAAACTGTGTCCGTGCCCCTTTAACTTAAAAAAAATCAGCAGAACACTGTATAACCTTTGCACTTCTGACCTACAGTGTAGTATAAATCTTTTTCACAATTATCAAAGTGCAGTTAATTGAATCAATCAATTATAATGACGAATTCTTCTTAAAAACTTATTTTCAACTACTTTTCCTCATGGCTAAAAGACCATAGGATAAATACCACTTTAGTACAAAACAATACAAAGACGGAAGATAAATTATATTTCATTTATTTTCCATATAACATTTGGTTTGAAACTGACCCATAATGAATCTCTCCTAATTGGAAAGAAACGGGTACTTTCGTTTTGGGACAATGTAATATATATGTTTTCGTTTTGTAAAAAGTATAACTTAGATTGACATAACAACAAAGAGGGGAGGATCCAGCCTCTCTGCACACTTAAGTGGAGTGGGTTGGATTTGTTTTGGACTACTAGCAATAACCAGTTCAATCAAGATAAGAAAAAAGAGTAAACACAATTGTATAAGCGAAACTTACAAGACATCATTCAAAAAATGTCCAAATTATTTTCATTGGTTACGTATGTTTCAAGGTAAAAAATTAACTTCCTGAATTGTTTATATCAAAATTCTTTATCTCTCAATACATTTTACTGTAAATTGGGAAAATCTTTTACAGCGAGCATATTTCGATCGCCACACTCCCTGCGGCAAGCTTTCATTTGGACTGAAAAAAAAATTCACTTAGAACACGTTCCTCGTTCTTGTTAAGTAACTGTTTTTAGAAAATGTCTTTGGTGTTTTTAGATAAAAACAATTGAAAACAGGGTGTAGCATGATGTCTTGACATTCCACGGAATTTAACATTATTTACTGGATAAAAGTTTCTTTCGCAAACGCTAAAATGAGTTTTAATCCAAGCTTATCAATAAATCTATAATTTTGGTATTTGTTAATTAGATAAAATTTTAAACTCAAGTAAAAATAAATGTGGTAATTAAAAAAGAATCATAAAGTTTTCTTCTAGAGACAAGTAAGATTAATGTTTTGTTACACTAAGGATGGTACTTTGCATTATGGACAATCGAACTGGTAACTGTCTACAAAATACATAAAAGGAAATAATGAAAATGTATAATACTCCACTTGTATGATAAAAAAATGTTCTAGCATACGACTGGGTCACGTAACACACTGAACAATATTTACACATGTAAAATAGTCTTGTACACACTCTATACTGAAATAATAAAACACACAGTGAGCATTTTCCCTGCTTTTGGTACAGAAGCGATAAATATCGTCTTTGTCAAGAACTCTACTTGGGTACTGACGGTCCTTTACCTCCGAATCATCCCGCCCCATGAGAATTCGGACTCGTATCCCTCCTATGGGACCGTTACATGTGGTTTCAGCATGTAATCAGTGTTATTGTTCTCCTAGTGATCAACGTATCTCATGCCTGAACTGCGCCTGCGTGGTGAGCTTGTTGAAGCAGATGATCCTTGCTGTCGTCTCCATCTCGTATCCTCGCTTTCGCGCGTTCATTCAACTTCTTTCGTTTCATTCGACGATTCTGAAACCACACTTTGACCTGTCGCTCTGATAATTGGAGTTTACATGAAATTTCCCACCGTTTTTGACGAGTTATATAAGAACTGTTCAAAAACTCATTTTCCAACACCATAGTTTGATATCGCGTGTATGGTTTCCGTTTCTTTCTGCCTTTGGACTCTGCAAAGAAAGAAGTAAGAAATCATGAATTGAGATTTAGACTTGTACAGGACATTGTAGGAGATCTTTTTAATTACAGTTCAAAGGTCGACCTTGAAGATCGTGTTATCAACCTTAATACTACCAAACAATCACGTAAGGACATACTTTACGAAGTTTGAAACACCTATTTTCTGAAACATAGAAAATTATAATGCAAATTTGAAATATTTCCTCGTACATTTCCTTCCATCAAAGTTATTCTTGTTGAAAATTTACATTAAAGAATGTTTTGCGAACTGCTAGTGTCGCTGAGATTTGTAACAAACTGTCTTTCGGTAACCAGAGCATGTTTACAAAGGCGTCTTAAACAAAGGAAAATCTACTATGCTAGCCGCAAAAACAGTTATATCTACCGGTATACAAACAAGGAAAAAACTTTTCTTTTCTCAAATTGGACTGCTGTCGTAATTCACATTGATTATTTTAAAGAAAATATCTTCATTGGTTATTATCTATAATACTGTACCAAACAACGTTTACTGAAAAAAAATTACAGATTTATACAACATAGGGACTCTGGACAATGGGATACTATTAAGTCTGATATTATCCGCACAATCCTGTTGAATTGATAACAAGAAATCAAGCATATGTAACCACTGTTGTGTTTTGTCCAACGTTTGTCCATAACGCGGTGCATTGGGCCGTAAACAATCATCTTTGATGTCCGCGGACCACAATACGAAGCTTAGTAAAGCATTCGGGCGTATATCTATAATGATGGGGCAACCAGTGCTTAGGGAGTTAAATGTATCTTTTTTAAAAAAATTAAGCGGGACTAAGACGAAATTCAACATAAGGAAATAAAAGCAACATTTTTTGATTTATATCTTGATGTGTTTTGTTTACAAGCCATTTACGTTAATACCAATACGTGATCTAATTTTTCTTGCTTGGTTTGGTCTGTATTATGGGGCCGAGGAAAAAGTAAAATGAGGGGAAATTTGAATAACAATCCGGATTATAGCCATAAAATTCATAAGAAATCAATATGTAAATAATTTGTTGAAATTTCATACCACTCGATTTCAAGGTAGAATTGTCAAATCCATCCGCTCTTTGCATTTCGTGCAGGATATCATTATACGACAGAAATTGACTATCGTCTCTTTTTACTTGTTTCTGAATTTCGTATCGTATTTACGCAACTTATGGCATATTAATTCATTAATTTATGTTGCCATTTTTTTCATTAAATGTCATATAAATAAAGTGTTTTTGGATTTTTGTTAGATTGTATTTCCGAGAGACCGCGAAGTTCCATTGTTGCCTTTCTGGCAGCTATGAAATTTGCACGGCGTTTTTCCGAATGACGAAGTAATAAGATATAAACCAATGCAACACTTCTGACTTTTTATTTTAATTTGTTAGAGATAACTTTACTTGTTCGTTAATAATCGTTATTCAAAGTCTGAATATTTGTTCCCTTCCTATATCCATTTACATCGGTCGTCAATATATCAGTGTTCATACTTCTGTGTAACGGATGTTGATGAAAAACGTAACATTTTATAAAAGCATTAACAATACACCGTAATTCACACTAGTGCATTTGTGTTCATTTCCATGCTTAGGTAACCTTTAGATTCCAGTTTGTTTGTGCCTATAATTTTAAAGTCTTAAAACCCTCTGTCTCATAGTCATAAGTGTAAGTTTTCACATCTATACTCAAATCAAAAATCACAATGTAAAGCAAAATTTTCAAATGCATAACAAGTCCCCAAATTATCCGACCATGACGGTGTGCGAAATAATATAGCCTTAATGCATTTCACAACAAACAACCGGAAAATCACATTCGCTTAAATGTTCCTTAAGAAGGGGTTTTCTGACAAAGAAAAAAAGTAAGATTTTTAATGTACCTAGATGTAGACTATATACGCCAATCTTCAAATATTCCCACAAAAATATCTCTTTTCTTCAACCCCCGATCATACGTTTTCCTGACGAGCTTTCATTTTTATTTTTAATCAGGGGAATATGATTAAATTATTGTAATAAATGTTAGAGCTAAGGCCTAAGACGGTGAACTTTGGAAAAGCAGAGGTCTCAATTAGCGGAAGTGTGAAACTAACAGCTGATTCCCGAACGGTGTCTTATGTGATCCAGAAACAATCATTTGAAAATTGATGCCAGCTTAGTCTTTTGACAAAATGGACGAATTACAACCCCCCATGGACTATTAACCAAATAAGATCAATACTGGGTTATTACTTTTTTGTTCCAAACATGCTGGTGCCGGTGTACACATATGCAATATGTTAAAATAATATTGCCTTGAGGATTCCTTTTTTATATTTGTATATGACTTAACTATTATATATTTCTGTTAGAAAGTGAAACTGTAAGAAGATTTGGAATTCAAATATTTCTTTGGAAAATGATTACTTAAACACCTCTGAGCATTACTCTACAAATATAACTACCGATCTTCCATGTATAACGACTTTCGCACCTGTGTCTTCTATCTCGTATTAAAATAGAGAGTCTGGCTGCACGCGGAGACTTCAAAGGTGCAAGTCTATGATATGAAGGGTGCAGAGAGCCTATATATGTAATTAATGTGATTTTTGCTTGCCAGTGGACAAAGCTGTCAGTAACGTGTTAGATTCGGGCGGGACAGTGACGCAGTCATTAGTGTAAATGATAGATGTCCATTACGATTCTATCCTCCGACCAAAACGAAAATATAATCTCTCTGCATATAGTTAAGAATTTGCAATGAAGTCGTATAATTAAAGTAAGCTCTCATACAGAAAAACAAAATTCAGCATAGTCTTGTTTGTTTGATGACACGAGAAAGCGATCTTAACAAAGATAAATGTAGTTTCTAAGCTCTGCTTTGCATGTATAGGGCATTTAGGGTATATTTTTTCGATAATCGCCCCAGAACCGATCTGCTTCATTTCTGCTTAGATCTCAACATCAGATACCGTGCTGGTGTTAACACACGTCTTCAATTTCTGTATTTATGATGCGAATAAACGACAATTCTAAACCTGTCTAACACACATCCTAATTACTGAATTTAAATAACAAAACAAAGGTACACAAGGTGGCGACTGTATATTATGAACCAAACCAAAAACAAGGTATTTATTTCTGTTTTTAAAAAGGTATTTTCATAAACAAGTGATTTCAAGTGCATCTTCATTTCAATTTTTGGCTGCATTTCTGCTAACTCGAAAATTTTCAAACAAAAAATTATTATATTTGTTCTCTGTGGTTCAATATCACAGGTGTAAAAAAATATCCTGCGTCATAAATCATTTTCTTTGTTAAGAGTCCATGTTGTTTTCTTACTATCTAATATAAGACCAGTATATCGATCTCAATGTTGAGCTCACTCTGAGTCTGGGGATGGCAGGGCTCATCGATCGGTTTAACTATCCACATCAAAAATGAATTTAACAATACTTTTGTTGGAGAATTCCATATGCATGGCATTTCTGTACCTTATGTCTGTTTAAAAATTTGAGATAAACCCACAAGGTTTGTGAGAACAGAAAAAATTTGTTTCTGACTTTCATTCACTCTGCAACAAAAAACGAACTTAACGGTTGACAAGTTATATAAATGCAAATAATTCATGAGTTTATTTCCGTAATTCCTTATTATGTTAATACATGTTTGTATGATTACATAATGAAAGTTCTCCTTGACATGAAGTTGTTTTTATTTCTCATCTAAAGAAACATCGCATTTTTCTGCTTACACCATTCTAAACACGATCAAAACTCATCTAAATAACTTCGTTTAATAAAAAAAATATAAAATTTTAGCCTGTAGTTTACAAGCTTTGTGTGATTTTCAGAGGAGGGGAGGGGGATCCTGTTTACCTTGGAACTGAATGCTAGGAGATGCCGGTGTAACTATCAATGTCCGAAGAATTTTTACGATAAAAACGTCAGTGACAATACAGACCCCAAGGGTCAGGTAAAAAAGCCCAATTTTGCTCCGTGTGGACAATGATGGATAAAGACAGAGAGAGTTACTGACAGACATGTAAAGAATATGATTAGGTACAAATCGATTGTCAATAGCAGTCAATCGCGCCCCCCGGGCAAAATCAAACCTTCACCTTGTAACGGAAATTATATAATGTGTATTTTGTTCATACATGACCTCTAATTAATGAATGTCTCTATTCTGTCATTTTGAATTCTCGCTTTCTATAAAAGTAATTAATTAACGAAGTTAACGTTATAATCTATTTGCTTGTTGGTTTTTCTAATTTTGTCGACAGTATCATCACTGTAGGTACGCTGTCAAATAAATTAGATAGGCCGTGATTTCCGTTCTAGGACAGTCAGAAGTAAGTCTTTGTTTTAATTATTCAGAGACCATTTCTGAGAAGTTTGTTGCTAAAAAAAAACATACGATTCCTGTCATGCAATAGCTCGCTTAGACAATGTAGCGCGGCATCTTGTAGTCATGACACTTGATTCTGAACTTATTCAAAGCGAGAAGCACTTTTTGGATTCTAAATTTATTTATTTTTAAAAATAAAAAGGCGAGGGATGTCCCATGCTTGCACCGATTTCGATGCCTCCCTATTCACGCCCTATAACCATTCGCCATCCAAGATAGATGTGAATGAGCGAGAGAAAGCGAAAAAAAAAAATCAAAATTAAAAATAGCTTCCTATATTTGGTTTACTGTTTCAAAAATTTGAATTCTGTCATCACGTATTTTGAGTAAAGTATTTAAAATATGTAACTGTTCGGGTTTTAGGACTTGTTATTTTTCCATTCATTTCATATCATATTTTTAATAACAAAACGCATTATTTATTGGCCCCAGATGAAGATACTAGACATATGCTGTATTAGTGATTACCAATTACAATACAGTAAACTGACACTTTGTGGCGATTAAAGACTTAGTCATGTGTATTTAGCAAGTTTACAATAACAATTTGCAAACTGTAAAAAAATTAATCCAGACCACAGGTTGAATGCGTCAAAACGGTGTCCATAGCTATTCAAGATTTTTTATCAAAATAAATTAAGGTACTCTTATTTCAATGTACGAAAAAATGAAGAAGTTAATGAAAGTAACAAAATATTTTTAAAAGTTATTTTCTATTATTTACATACAGATCTATATCCCCAGGATGCAAGAAAAAGGACGGTGATTACTCAAACGTGGGATTTTTAATGTATTTTGTAAATTGAATTTAATGTAATTCCATTACTGCATTACCTTGGTTGGATGATTCTGATGTAGCACTTCGACAGTCTATGTCTCTGCCGGGAAGGGTGGGTAATCCGGGGGGAATATCGGGGTAAAAGCTGCCGTTCGTGTAGCCCGCTGTATGGGCAGAGGGGTACATGTCAGAATACAAAGGGGGATAATTCCTCATAGTTGGCATAGCATTAAGGTTCATATGATTTAACTGCATTTGTCGGCAGTTTAAATAGTCCGCACCCGCACTAGCAAATGTGTTGTAGGGGGATTTCCCGTTCATGGCGGAGAATGAAGGTCCCAGCTGTAGATTGCTATAGGAGGACATGGAGCAGGAATTGTGGGGAGGGATTGAGCTGTCAGCGGAGTAAGAGGGCCATCCGTTCTGGGCGCCGATGGCGGTGGTCCGGGAGATGCTGTCCTGAGCCCCGGGACTAGAGGAAAGGATACTGGAGACAGATGTGGTTAGGCCGTTCTGGTAAAACGGAAGAGCGCCATGAGCTAGAATATTATTTCCCACGGTTTCCATGATTGGTCATTCCAACTACAACAAAATAAAAAAAATATTTTAAATATTCTGAATCAAATTTTAAAACTGGTATTTTTAACACTATTTTCATGAATCTTCAAAAATATAAAGAATATATGCAAAAAGTTAAACATCAATTGCATAATGAAAATTAAAAAAAAATCCTTTATGGACTTTGAAACAAAAAGAAAGATTGCACAACCTGTTTTTCATTTACAATACACAAGGATATCCTTAAAAAGCCCCTCCTACCCAAAATTATGACTAAGTCGCTATAATACACCTTACCCCTAATTTTTTATACAGATTCTCTTGACATGAGTATATTTTATCAGGTTTTATAAACTGTTGGAATCTATTAGAAAACAATAAATTTATTTGGATAATGAAAATCCACACTGTTACATATTTTTATACTTTTCTTACCTGAAAGATACATATTGAATTAATATTTCCTTTTTATGACTTAACTATAGGAGAGGTCTTTCAAAAGTAAGACGTTTTATAGGGTGTCAATATGAAATTCAATGGGAAGACTAATTTGTCAAGAATGATTATATATCCATTTAAACCCACAAAATGTGTTTGAGAATAAACATTAAAAATATTGGAAAGTGTGATTTCTATGAATAAACAGGAAAAAGATAAAAGAAGTGAATTCTGTCTAAATTAAAGTCATTTATGACGCAAGCTGATAAGATCAGATTTTTGTACCGAATTTGTGAATTGAAATTCAAATGTTAATGCATTAGAGCCATTTTAGTTTGGGGAAAATGGAGAAAAGCGGAATCTGTCGCCAAAGGGAAATCAGACGCATCCTAATCGGAGACCAAAATCTCAGCAAAATATAATTAGGTTTTTTAAACACTTGACAAGATATGTAAAACTTGAAGCAACATGCATAAGGATGTTTTTACTTCAATTTTCCTCCCTTTTGTTATTTTAATTTAGGCTTCTTTGTACCTGTCCCGCCTTGAGTTTTACTTGACTGCATAAAAATGTTTTATAAAATCTTTCTATTTAAAGAGAAATAAATTGTAACATTAACTCCCAAATGTCGCTTTTGATTAATTTTATATACCCAGTGAACATTGCACAAAACTTTATGATGTATTATTTGAATGACTGCGCGAACCAAGAGCAGAAAAAAAATAAAATGCAAACCACGCGTTAGAATTCATTTGTAATCAAGTTATCGCTATCTGGGACGTGAATTAAACACATACCTAGAACACCGATAAAAAATCCAGCCATCCGACAGTTAAATATCACTTAAACATATTTATGTTACGATCACATGTAAAATGATAATACTGTAGTGAAACTCATAAATACACCAATGCCTTCGATGTTCCAACACTCTATGACCTATGACCTCGATACATTCCGTATGCAACGAATAAAAATATAGAGCTGTCACTTGAACCACGTGGTAATTCCCTCCAATCAGATAATTGTCAGTGTATTGCCAATTCGTTTCTTTTCCCGGGAGATACGGCGGATATTTGATGAATTCTTCGTTGTAATATAAAATCGTATTAGGTATTTACTATGCTAGGATTTTTCTGTTTGGTTTGATCGGAAAATTATTATTATGATCACACTGAGAGTAGAATTTTACGTTTATATCGCCCTTGTCGGTCATGGGAACTAGCTTGTTGAATATTCATGAACCGTCTAACTGCGACCAATCAAATTAAAGACTGTGTAAAACCCCGTGAATCGCCCGTTTATGAGTTTCGATAGTAAATGTGTAATTATCGCGGAACCGACAAATTGCACATGTTTGGAGCAAGGATACAGGTATCGAGAAATCGAAATAATAGGATGGGCATCGTAAATTTTATGAACCTCTTTTGAAGTTCCCGATCAGTAGGATTAAAGAAATAATCTAAGTGTAGCCTCTTGAAATTTAAATTCGCGCACAGCAACACACGGTGTTGTGTAAATCATCTAGAAGCTACAAACAAGATTGTAAAAACGCTCAAACGTTGCTAGGGGCACTACTTTCTTGAAATGCATTCCGAAAAGGAAAATAATCACATTCAGCATGCAACGTGCGACAACTCTTTCATGTTTACAATGTATATTTTAATATTTTTTTTTAAAAATTTAATCTGTGATTATAAAACCCTAATTTAACATAAGTTTTTTAATTAAGATATATTTACATGTAGCAGTAAAAAAGATGTACATTCTCAAGAATAAAAAAAAATTAATGTAAGAACATGAAGGCAGTTCTTGACATTTTACTGAAAATGAAAATTATAATGTTTCAATATTAGTTATTATTTATTTCCAAAAAATATTATTTATTTTTAAAGATTTGTATTTAATGTTCTTTAATGATTTTTATTTTGAAAAGCAAATAGTCGTGTAATAATAATTTTCAAATAAAAGCAATGTTTTCCAGAATGTGCATTCCCTAATTTGGTTACACTGTAAAAAAAATATATATATAAATATCTATACTATTAATTTCTGGAACTCTTGTTACCTTTTATTATTTTGGTTTTTTTAGCTGAGTAAAAGCATATAAAACTACGATAAGATTACATTTTAATACTCGAAAAATTGATTTAATTTTATATGTGAATTGTCCGTATATTCTCCTCTTAAATTAAAGAATAAAGAAGTTTGTATAAAATTAATCTCAAATTTCTATTATTTTTTTAATTGCTTCATAAAAAGAATTAAGATTAATTAGTAGTGATAAATGTTGAAAACACCTTAAAAAGATAGAATGGGTCATGTTTGGTCAAGAATAATACACAATTTTGTATATGAATTTGCAAAAAAGGTAATCTACATAAATATTTTTTAAAGAACAAGTAAAAACAAATTATAAACAAAACTTCCACCTATATATACTGTAGGTAGCTTTGATATACTTGTATATATAAAAAAGTGAAGTGTTTCTCACGCTGTCCACGAAATAAAAAAGTCGCCAGGAAAACTGACCAAGGTCACGCAGTGTCACAGTCCGGCAGGACAGCAAAACATCAGTGTCAAATTGTCAAAAAACAAGGAAAAGACTAACCAACCCTCATGTGAATTCTTAGCTTCATACCTTTGTTGCATATTTTCATAACGATTTGTCGTAAATAATCAGCCGTGAAAGGCAAAGATGGATATTGATACAGAGGCTGACGTCATGACAAACATACAATATTATTGTAACTTTTTTTATCTTTATAAAAAAATAATTTTTTTGTAATAATTAATTATTCAATGCAGAAATTTAATCTCAAGGCATAATTATTTGTAATTTCTGATTTTTTTTTGCTTAATCTGAATTTGATTTGATTCACGGGTTTATTGCGAAATAAAATTAATCAAATACTAATATAAACCAAACATAATCTTACCATAAACAAATAATAAAGTCCCAGCAAATCAACCAGATCTAACTACGCTACAAACTAGCTCACTGTCTTTTTAGTACTGACATAAAATCAGTCGGTGTACGTTTTATTTCTACCTTCTGATATGACATCATTACTAAATTGACGATGTTTGAAGTCTTTGAAGAATACCCTAGAAGTATAATTACAAAATTCGACAGATAATTTCAAACTTTTTAATGTACTCTCGGTCTGTTTGAATTCCTGTTCTTGGACAGTTTATAGTTCTACCATATGGATTCCAGAGGCCGTTATTTTCGGCCAATTCTGAATTAGAGGTTCATCAGACGATGTCCATTATTTCTGGACCTCGGACGCCCCCCGCACGTCCGGTGTTACTTGTAATTTTACATCTCATTACTGATTTTAATGTTCCGTTAACGTTTTAGTCCATGCTTCTTCTCACAAGCCGCGCCAAATCTAATGACCAAACGTTACGTATGTAATGTCCAATATGTAGCACGCGCCAAATCTTTTCGCGCTCTTTTGAAAATATGCATCTAAAATACCATTTAGATATTTCTAAAAATGGATATTCCCTACACATGCAAATAAATGTTTAATTCAGAAACTTTACAAATAGTAGAGTTTTAAAATAGTCCATGATATTTTAGTCCCTGTTTTAGTGTAAAGAATTTTCTGATTTACATAAAGAGGAATTATAATGAGAAGAGTATCAGTTAGCAGACGAGAGATAGGACAAAGGTGTCCTCCATTAAGAGTCTGATGTAAGATTTCAATAAAATAGACTCCAAAATGCTCTAAAGTGTGACTTAAACACTCATTTATGGTCACTAAATGGATACAAAGTGTTTTTTCATTACATTCAGATTGTTTTTAACAAGTGATTGCGTTGAGCTGTATGTATCAGCGAATAAAATTGTGTATTGCGAAGTAAAATAACAACAAAATTCTACCAAATTGTGAATAAATGCCATTTCTATGAGCGATATCAGGCATTATCTTGTAAAACAAGACATAAAGCAAAACTTTATTGTCCCTCTATCATAGCATGTCTTCATAAAATGTCATAAATGAAATCTAGTCACGTGATGGCTGTATCATCTGCCCCGACACTTTCATTGAACAAAATTGTTAGAGAATTGTACAATTCTGTCTGATTTTACTACACCTTTAATGTATTACATAGAAAAATCTTGGACTTCAAAGAATTTAAATTGGTTAGTATTCAGTACGACTTTTCCAACTTTTGTTACTCAATACATAAAATTTAAAACGTTGAAATTGATTCAAATACATCAAAAGAAATTACCATAAGATCGATAACAATTAAATGGTCATATAACTTTTTTTAACTGATGAACAGTTAATCCGACCCACTGGACAAGCGATTGTCCGGTGCGATACCTGTGTTGGAGCAGAAAAACTCGTGTTTTCTTGTACTGCTCTCTAGACAAACATGGCGGTTGTTAATGGATGACAATAGCGGACATTATTATTAGATGGATTAAAATAACACCACACAGGTCGAGTGATCGAGTGTGTCCGACGGCTACCATTTTACAATGGTCAACTATTGGTCGTAAAATCATTTTCAAGCGATTCCAAAGAGACCGACCGATAATTAAAATGTAAGCGGGCCCCCTTCTC